TAAAATAGAGGAAGCCTTCAAAGAAGATAATATTAATAGAATAGATTATGGAAGAAAATTGAGACCTACTGCCCAATCTAGAATGTATCATACTAGGCCAACACCTTTTGATATACAATTTGAAGAGGATTTGATTTCTAGTACTGTATCCTACTCGAGTAGGACAATTGTTGATTTGAATATTGATGATATGTCAGACCATCAAATATTTGATACCATGAAGCATATAACCATGTATGCTACTGCCTGCAAGATAGCAGGAAATCATGACCAAGAAGTGGCCAAAGCCATTGTCTGTGGATTTACAGGATGGTTGAGAGGATGGTGGGATTTCCATATGAGTGAATCCTTAAAACAAAAAATTTTAAATGCTATAAGACACTGGACAATAAAAAATGAATTCAATCAAGACATACCCTATAGTGAAAGTGACGCAGTCAGTACACTTATTTGTACAATAACTCTTCATTTTGTGGGGAGTACTTCCTTGTTAGATATTAGGTCAGAAGATCTACTATCTAATTTAAGGTGTTCAACATTATCCCACTACAAATGGTATAAAGACGTATTTTTCTCACGACTTCTGTCACGAGAAGATAGTAGTGCGGACCATTGGAAAGAAAAATTCATAGCAGGATTTCCATACCTATTTGCTGAAAGGGTAAAAAATAGATTAAAAAATAAGAATGGAGGAATATTTCCATATTCTCTTTATACCCTTGGAGAATTATCTACAGAAATCTGCGCAGAAGCTCTTGCTTTGTGTACTAACCTAAAATTAAAAAGGAGAATGACTGGTAAAAAAGAATTAGGTGATTTATGTGAACAATTTGGTTATAATACTATATCCCCATCTGATAAACTTTATAAAAAGAAAAATAAAAACAAGAAATCCAAATTTGGCCAGAGAAAAGATATTAAGGAAAAATTTACAAAAAAATTTGCCCCAAAAACCAAATTCAAAAAAGGAAAGAGAAAAATCCCAGCATGTTATAATTAGGGGAAAGTAAGACATTATAAAAATAATTGTAGAATTAAAAAGAAATCAATGCCTTACAACTTGAAGAAGAGATAAAAACTCATATATATGATATACTTCAGATAGAAGAAGAATCAGATACTTCAACCTCAGAAACTGAGTCCCTTGTTGGAAGAATAGAGGATGAAAATTTAATATTGAGTAGTTCAGACTCGGATGAAGATATGGAAGATTGTTTCTGTAAGTCTGTTACTACACTTACAAATGAAGAAAATTTAATTATAGATCTAATAGATAAAATAGTTGATCCAGAAGCCAAAAGAGAAGCTTTGACACAATAAATACAAATGGCTAAATAAAAAAAGAAGCTAGCCCGTTTGGTTAAAACCCAGGAAGAGTATAGTATGGCTGAAATACTCAAAAGGATTAATAAAAAAGATATTGTTCATAAAGAACCTTCTATTTCCGAATTAAGACAAGAGATAAACGAGGTAAAATATGAAATTCAGCACCTTAAAAATAGAATAAGGATTTTAGAAATGACTACTGATTTTTCTGAAACTAATTCTGATGATGAGTTAGAATTTGATGATCTTTTAAATTCACACAAAAACATTATTCCTCCCATAGTATCTCCAATAATTGATACTCCAGAGTCATCTGACACAGCAAAAAAGCCTATATCTGATAACAATTATCTTAACTTATTAGATAAAGTGATTACTCAAAAATGGTTTACTCTAATTAGAATAATAGTACATAAAGAATACAGTTTTCAATCTTTAGCATTAATAGACTTAGGAGCTGATCTTAATTGTATAAATGAAGGACTGGTTCCTACGAAATACTTTAGTAAAACAACGCAAATACTTAATATGGCAGATGGTAGCAGATTAATAATTAATTATAAATTGTCCAATACTGCAATATGTAATAATGGAAGTTGCTTTGAAACGCCTTTCATAATGGTAAAAGGATTAAGCTAAGCAGTTATACTTGGCACTCCTTTTTTAAATTTATTATATCCCTTGAAAATAGATAGCACAGTAATTGAATCAAATCTAGAAGGACATAAGGTAAAATTTGATTTTATAGATAAACCAAAAGTGAAAGAAATTAATTATATTAAGCAAAAGATAGAAAATAAAGAAAAATTTCTATGCCAACTAAAAGAAGAAGTAAAATATAAAGTAATAGAAGAAAAAATATCTTTACCAGAAAATAAAGAAAGAATTGAGAATATTAGAAGAACAATAGAATAATGATAATAATAACAACAACAACAACAATCCACCCCAAAAACATCTTATCAAAAGATCAACTTTATTCAACTCTCTTCATTCTCTCATCTCCCTATTTTCTCTTTCATTATCTTCATCACATGAATATCTAGGTATTCAAGATAAAAATCTCTTCCTTTTCATTATCTTCATCACATGAATATCTAGGTATTCAAGATAAAAATCTCTTCCTAGATTGTAAGCGCTGGACATTTTAGATAAGCCTAAATTGTATATCCTGAAAAATGAATATCTACGGATTCAAGATAAATATTTCTTCCTAGATTGTAAGCACAAGACATCTTAGATAAGTCTAAAGTGTATATCCTAAAAATCCAATTATGCCTAACTTATCTCTTTAAAACCAACTAAGAGATAGCTTATCCTAACCCCTAACAAAAACATTCACGCCACACTCACCCAATTCCTAAAGAGATAACCTATTTAAAAATAAATAAAAAAATTAAAGTGATTTTTTGAATTTTCATCTGTCAACTTTGGTTAAAAATGGTATTTGACTTCAACTAGTATTTCAAAATCCAAACAATTTTTTATCCAGATTTCCGATCAGGATTGGCAATCAGTTAGGACCTAACCGATTTTGGGATGGTATGGGTTTTGGCTTGATTTCCCCTGAAAACTCGTTATATATTTTATTTCTTTTATTTGTTATGCTTATTTAGTACTTTTTTAGGTCCCCTTTGTATCACAATAGTGTAACCTCTATTTATTTATTTTTTAGAATTTTTTAGATCACCAATTTAAATTGATCTAAGCAAAATTAGATCACGACACGAATCAATGAGTAGACGATTTACTCCACCGGACCGGTCCGGGCTGAAACATTGACTTCAACTTAGAAAAGTACTTGGATTTACTTTTAGTGGTGCTTAATTTTGGCCGGAATAACATTTGCTCAATCAATGCAAACTCACTCCGAACGTGCCAAAGAGGTCCATATGCATTGTATACTGTCGGACAATAAAGGGGAAACTTTCTATTCACGTGGGCTGTCCTTTCTTAATAGATGTCCCAAAAGCCCATTCAATTGAAGAGTGACAAAACTTTATTTGTCGATAATGATATTTTAACGTTATTATGATTTCAAAAGTACTACTTTTATTAAATTTTTTTGGTTTTTTTTTTGTCTTCTTAGTAGTTCAGCAGGAAACATGCTCTTATTCATGGTAAGAATAAAACTCAATACATCGGTACCCCTTTTCTCGATCTATCATTGCCTCTCTTTTTTTTTTTAACTTCATAAGTCAAGATTTGCTTGAGAAATTCCAAGTCTTGTGGGTTATTGTTAATGCCATAGAAATAGACAAGTTCATCCTCTTTAGTTTTTTCAAATGTGAAAATTAAATGCATCAGCAGGAAACAGAGTCTAGAGTTCTATTATCTCCAAGTCCCCAAGTTAACATTCAAACTAAAGAAAATAGATGCCCTAAGTAATCTATGAGAAGAGAAAAAATTGTGTTATCAATAGTTGTGAGTTTGATTATCGACAGTTCAACACGAAAGAAACATAAATAAAATTTACCACATTTTACATATTTATTGTATAAGAAGTCACGTAGGCTATGCAAATGCAACATCCAAAGAGTGAATAGGTTGAGCCAAGGTTTTAAAAAAAACCAATTCGGATCGAAATCGCCCAATCCAAAATCTCCCCACACTAATCTATTGAAAAGTAATAGCACTAGCCCCCGTTATCCTTTTTACAATGCCCCATATGAGACTAATTTACATCGCACTAACTTTCTCCCTCTTAGAACTTGACTGAGAATAAATTCATTATCAACAAGGAATTATCAATATTGATTGTAGCATATTGCACAGCACATTATAAAAAGTTTTGTATTAGTACAATAATGAAAAAAATAAACTTCATGTTTCGTTTAAATTGCCTAATATTACTAAAAAATATATGAAGGTGCAAAAATAAGCCTAAGCCTTTTCTATAATTTATTGAGTGGGTATATCAGTAACTTATTACATAGCCACCCAATGGGGAGCGTTGGTTTTTTTTTTTATTTTTTTATTTCGTTGGCCAATAAAAGAGAAAGAGGAGTGCCGTTGGTTGATATGATACAAAAAAGATTAATTACTGGATAGAAAGGAAAGAGGACATAGTGCTAAGATTTATTGTGTTATCCATGTTCCATATCAGATAGAAAGAAAAGATGATGTTTCAATATTTATGTATTTTTGTACAAAAATAAAAATATATATTACACTACTTCTAATATTTTTGGAAACTCAAAAAACAGTATTTTTAATAATTTTTTATAGAAACAATTTGGGCCACAACTTGCTGATCCTCCTGATTCTTCAATTAGGATTGCCGATCCACCGATCCAAAACGGTTTTTGTAGTGATCGTTCTGAGTCGATCTATTTTTTAAACTGAACACAATGCGAAAGTTGGAATGTGTAAATGTAGGGAGCGCTTACATTCAGCAAAGTGTGTTGTGAATATAGTTTCCCAAAGGTTTCCGCCGTATCCATATTGGGTCCATGCCACCATCCATGCATATGGATCTCTTATCTAAATACAAAATATACATTTGTGCGTATGCTATATTGAAGGTGTGTATGCTATATTGAAGAAGAAAAAAAATGTGTTTCTAAAATATTTGCAAAATAAGGGCACAGTTTTAATTTGTTTTCTTTTCTTTTCCTGCATCACTTACGAATATTTTAAAAGGAAACAAATGAATTTAGAAGGAAAAAAAAAAATACACCGGAAGAGAGGGACAAGTGGCCATTGAGGAACAACACTTAGTCATTCTGTCTCTACAAGTCTCGCTCTCTCTATTTCCCTTAATGGCTATATATGGGAAATGGTTTGGGGAGGTTTAGGCCTTTTATCGGTCTAAAACCTCTTTATCAGTCTTAAGCTTCCTCGTAAGCTGGGTATATGGACATGCCTCTCATATCTGTGAGAGCCATTCAACATCACGTGATAAGATTACAGCACCGTGTTGCCTCTCAACACTTTCTATTTGGATTATTTCTAACTCTTGTTTTACAGCAAGCTTATCTTCCCTCTCTTACAATATACTCATGGAAAACTCAATCTCAACAACTTTCTCTCTCTAGAAAGGAATAGAACAGGGCTTGTAAGTCTCTACAAATTTGGTGATCTATGATTTTATTTATATTTTATATCCAAAATACCATTTGAAGTTGGGGAAAAGCTGCATGAGCACTGAGAAAACTTTAGGGCATTGTTTTAGGTTAGAATGCTTTGTGTTGGGTTTTAATGTGTATATGCTTGCTACAAATTAGCTTGGGGTTGTGTGGATGAGGTTCACAATACTTGCAATCGAATTTGGGTTTTAATTATTTTGTGCCCGACAAAGTTAGTGACCTTAGTACATCATTTTTAGAGTCCTACATAAATTTATAGCAAGCTATTTGTGATTGTTTTTTTTTTTATAGACATAAGAAAGAGTTGTATATCATGTGTTTGTTGATTTTTCTGGTCAAGTTCAAAACAAAATTTGCATGTTATTATAGCTCTATTTACTCTTGAAAACCAAAATGATCCGCAGTATTTAAGCTAACAATTGGTATCAGAGTGAAAGGGTTTTTAACTTGTATAAAAACTAGCTAATCCTGGAGCTCTATTGATTGATTTAGTAAGGATGGATAAGCTCAACGGTTATAATTTCTCACTTTGGAGGAATAAAGTATCTTATTTACTATATACTATAGATTTGTTTTATGTTATTGAGGAAAAAAAATCGTATGACGATAATTATACACATAGGGCATGTTTGCTAACTGGAAGTTTGGGGAGGAAGATGGAACTTCCCCATTTCTATACAACTTCCATGTTTGATATACAGAAGTGATACAATAAAAAAAAGAGTGATTTACGTATGAACCCTAATTTTTTTCTTCTAAAATACTAAATACTTCATTTATAGGTGAAAATTACAGAGAAAGTAGGACAACTTGTATTTTTTTATTTTCAAAATTGCCCCTCAGTCTGACAATCGTCGCACCGAATTTTAATTTTTTTTTTGCTTTTTCCTTAGACCGAGGAGTAATTTTGAAAATAAATAAATAAATATAAGAGTTGACCTACCTTCTTTGTAATTTTTACCTACGAAGCATTTCATATTGGGTGTGGTTTGTATAAGCTCGCAACCTTAAACAATCCAATTAAGGCGCAACTCTGAATTTTATCATAACATGTAATTTTGGTATAAAAATTTCCTAGAATTATCTTAAATCTACTATTATATTTAATTATAAATTTGAAATTCCAAAAATGGTTAAAATCAAGTAGATATATGAACATATGAAATCTTGAAAATTGACGGTCTAGATAATATGTTGCACGGTGCACCATTTATGTGACTCAAAATTTTTGTTTTCATCATATTCATACATCTTGACATGATGAATTAGAAGGTTTTTCAACAATAAAACAACCTTTTCTGATGGATTTCTGAGGTGCATCTGGAATTCTACATTTTAAGGTTGCGACCTAATGGTCTATAAATCTTATCCTAAACCTTTGATATTTGTTTGGAAGCCCACAAGCCTTTGAGATTTGTTTGGAAGCCTTCCTTGTGGGCTGGGTCAAGCTTAATTTCGATGGGAGTGTCAAGGGCTTAATTGTTGGATATGGGTGCATGACGATCTCGTCTACCTCTGGTCCTCTTCATTCTCGTGAGATCAATGAGGCTGAACTTTGGGTTTTGGAAATAAGGAGCATTTCTTGTGTGATGGTCATTGCTCATGCTACGATGCTCTTCTGTGTGTTGATATTTGGATTAGTATAGTTTTTGCTCTGATGGCTAGTACTGAAAAATAATTATAGGTTTTTGTTTGAATAGCTAAAAAACTTTGAAGGGATTTTTTGATCTCTGTAGTGATACTGAAACAGAGCTCTATTTTCTCATTGTGGAATTATATATAGTTAAACATTTAAATTTTCTACAATCATAATTTTTGGAACAATTTTTTTGTCGAATTTCTTTTAACCTAGAACCCACTTGATTTCTTGAGGCATTTTGTGGCGTATCCAGAGCAAGAAACATCTCTAACCTTGTCTCTAGTCCCCACTGGTAATTCTGTATTTTATCTCTCTAATTTAGGATTGCTTTTGTTCGATATTGCTTTGCATTTTTTAACTGTCTTCTATTTATTCTGTTGTCATTAATTCGCTAAGAAAATGGTTTTCTCCCTCTAATCAGGGACCTTGTATTGATAACTGGTTTGAAATGGATCTTCATTTCTCTGTTTTCACTAATTCATGAATTATTGGTAGGCTTGCTTGTTAGGAAAATGGTTTTCTTTCGGATTTAGGATTGATTTTATTGAATACTGGTATTGTTTTTTGAATTGGGACGTCTTTCTATTCTCTGTTTTGGATAATTCATGAATGCTTCTTAGAAAAAGTGTTTCTGTCTCTAATTTAAGAGTGCTTTTTCTGAGTACTTATATGAAAATTTACATGGGTCTTCTTTCTCTTCTCTATTTTGGTTAATTCATGAATATGAGTGGGCTTGCTTAATAGGAAAATGGTTCTCTCTCTCTGATGCATCCCCTATCCCCTAGAGGGGCCAAAGATATTCCATGGTATGACAATTTTATGCAGTTGTGCAGGGGAGAAGAGGATAACTGCAAGTAGTTGTTCATGCCTACTCACTTATTTGTCCAGAGGTAAATACTTTCTATTATGGATTAGAGGTTTAACATGATACTAAGGTCGAAGTGTAAAATTGTTTTTTCTCCCTTTCTATAAATTTTCATCCACATTGTAGAATCCACAATAAACTTGCTTGCATGATCTTTATGATGTTCATTTTTTATGTTTTAAGAGCCTGGGCTTAATTGGTTAGCGCTTGACGATTTGCAATGCTATGTCCTAAGCTCAATTCCTATCAAAGGTAGAGGCCCTCTCCCCACTGTCTCACTCAAAAAAAGAAGAAGTATATAAGTATCATATATAATACGTCGATGGAAATTTGTTTGGGTGCATCTAGGAACTTCAGATATGCAATGATGGATAGACATGGAAAAATAAACCATTTAATTGATATGCACAAAGAGGCAATGAAATGTTGATCATGACCAATAAAAACATTAGGAACTGCGAATTGTCCAGTAACCATTTCCAACACTTAATAGGCGTGATTTGATTAATACTTGACTATGAGCTTGCTTGCTTGCTAGGACAGTGCAAAAGAGCTGCAAGTTTAAGGAGTTTCTTGGTTTTTAAATACAATGGAGTTTATGCCAAAATACTTTGTGCATAAACAAGAATACATGAACACTTGTCCACTCAATATATGGCCTTATTGGTTTATTAAGCATGAGCGACACACAAGGGGCTAACACTCGGTCATCTGTTTTCCCCGCCCCATGGAAGTCTAGGATGAATCTAGCTCATCCACGTCTGATAAGAGATTATCATCTAGGACAAAGAGGCAATGCTCCCGGACTCCGACATCTCAACATTGCAGAACAAGGCAACCAACCCCCATTGAGGCGATGGTTGTAGCTATGACAAAGATGGCCGAGAGCATGAAGGCGTTAGCGAGTGGCAGCACACCAAACAACAATACTTCAGTCGTGGAAGATGCTTCCAAGGCCAGGAAGGATTGCATTACGCTTGTTGAAGCTATGTAGAAAGAAGGGGAAATTGATGATGAAGTTCTCTTGAAGGCAACTATGATCTTTCAGGATGCCATAAAGGCGGAGATAGTATTAAACCTGACAGAGCGAAGGCATCAAAAGGCTTTCTTGGATATTGAGATGCAATGCCTACAATAGATCTTGGATTGTTTATGTATTACTTTTTAGAACTGTTATTTATGTGGTCAATGACCTTTATTTTGTATTTTGGTTATTGTAATTTTCTTTCATGGTATGGATATTTCTCTATGATACTATATGGATGATTTGTTTTGCTTTTATGGTTTTATCATGGTTAATGTCTTTGATAGAATGATACTCTATGGATGATGTTTTTTTCCTTTATGGATGATGTCTTTATTATTGTTTCTCATCTTTTTCATTTTCATAATTGTATTGCTCAAGACATCTCGTGAACCTGTGAAATCTTGTTTTGGATACTCATTTTGGGTTGTGATTGACATTTTCTAGAGACAATTTGAATTTTGAAGGACAATAAAGTTTATCATGTAACATTGCTTAAATTGTTGTACTTGTGTTTTACAATTTGGGGCATGTTCTTCACTTCTCACTATTACCAAATATCTCTCTCTCTTTGGCCCATTGTCCAGCACCTAAAATCCAAGGCTTTTCTATGATGCTTCTCTCTCTCAATCCCTCTCTCTTTAATTTATTGGGAAAAGTGGGAGAATACACGAAAAATACGGCTTTCTATATACACATCATTTATTAGAACTCTTGTGAATATTACCTATGCACATTTGAATACACAGTTATGTTTTAATTGATATTTTATCCAAACAAATATAGAAAACTAAAAAACTAATATATATATATATATAAATTTACTCTATAGGTCTCTCTAGTTAATCAAGCACAATTACCTAGAACTTCTTCAACACTCTAACATCTTATCCATTTCTTTAGATTTAAGTTCAAAAAGCCGCCTGAGTTAATTACTATGTTAGGTGGTTGGATAAATTTCCCTTATTTTAAAGATTTAAAGATTCATAATAAAAGTTTATGGTACTTAAATATTAGATATTTATATTTTAAAATTTTCAAAAGTATTTACATGAAATATTTATTTTGAAATTATAATTATAATACAAGATTTTAAATATTGGAAAATAAAAAATTGACATTACTTATGAAAATTTTATTAACTAAAAAAGAAGTCATTAGCAATTTTTTAAAGTGTAAAAATCTACTCTTAAAATACATTACCATCATTATCATTATCTGAGACTTATCTCAACTATTTAGAGTTGGTTACATAAATCCTATTCCGCTATTCTGCTCTATCAATGACCATACCCTTATTAAGACAATAAGTCCCTATATTTTTTCTCGCTACTTCCATCTATGTCCATTTGGGTCTTCCCTTTGCACTCACAGAGCCCTCCACTTGCACCAAATTGCACCTTCTAATCGATGTTGTATTGGGCATGTGCTGTACATGAACAACCTATTTAAATCTACTTTTCCCCATCTTGTCACCTATTGGAGTCACTCCTAAGTTCAATCGAATGTATTCATTCCGAATTCTATCATTTCTTATTTTGCCACTCATCCATCTCAACATTCTCGTCTCAGCTACACTCATCGTATGGGTATGTTGTTTAATGACCATCTAGCATTCTGTTCCATAAAGAGAAACTGGTCTTACAAATGTCTTATAGGCTCTCCCTTGAGCTTCATTAGTACGTGGCTTTCACATAAAACTATAGTAGCACATCTCAATTTGCCTACTCAACTCTAATTTTATGTGTGATTTCTTCATCAATCTCTTCATTTTATTGGATAACTGACCCAAGATAATGAAAATACTCTCTTTTAGGTATTTTTTGGCTATCAATCTTAGTTATTTCGTCGTTTCTACTCCTATTATTACTAAAATTGCATGTCAGTCTAACTAATTTTGAAACACTTACAATATAAACTCTATAAATTTTCAAGACAATAAGCAATGTTGGGTTCATGTTAGTAAACATATTTTCTTCAAAATACAGAAAAAATAGTAATGAAATATAAGATTATAAGTATATTAACAAACAAGTTTAAGGCGCATAAAAAAAATTATTTAAAATCACAAGATATTAAATCTAGTTCTTTAAATAAAGGAAAATATTTGCATAACACTTTTGCCCAACTAAGGTAAGTTGTAAGTAAATTACATCCACATCGTCCATTGACTTGGACATTGCAGATTTTCCTCAAAAGTCAACTTGGGAACAAGGACACCCAGGACCCGGTTTCCTTCTCTCCACTAAGATCAAAATGAATAGAACGACTTTAGGTAGAGAGAGAGAGAGGGGGAGGGAGACATTGGTCAGTGATTGAAAGAGAAAAGCAAGGAATGGACAAAACACTACTTGTTCAATCCTCACATGTTGCTATCAAATTGGTGAGAGCTTTGATTAAGTTAAAATCGGCCCAACCACCATTAAATCAGTCGACATGGGATCTGATTGACTAGATTTTAAAAATATCAAAAAATAAATAAATAAAAGTTGCCCACTCTATTTGGCTAGTTGAATCAATCAAATCCAGCTACTCAAACTTGCAAAAAATGGCCAAACAATAATGTGACTAAACCCAGTTTTAATTTAGACCAAACCAGTCAAGGCATTGACTGTTGGTTAGATCATCGGTTCAGTCCAGTTTTGATAACTGTGGCTAGATAAAATTGGATGGAACATTAGTGCTAAAAGGGAATGAGATTTTAAATTGCTGCGTAAGGGTAAAGAGACATGAAAGACAAGAAGGAGAAACCATCTCCACCAATAATCGAACCCCTCAAAATCCATTCAACTGAAATAATAGCTAATAGAAACAAAATTCAAACAATATAGGAAAGTGACTTGCTCTTTCATTTTGAAAGGAAAATGTAACAAGATAGGAAAATGTATATTGCATGTAACAAGATATAAAAGTATATATTACACCATTATATTACTATTATATATACAATGAAAGAACCACCACAAGAATTGTATGGGGCACGATTATTTTCTCAAAGAGTTATTTTCTCTCTAAAATTTCTTTAATAGCCTCTCTTTCTACTGGTACGAGTGAAAAAGAAGGTACAACTGCTAATTTGGAACACCTCCCTCCTAAACCTAACCCTCGATTTTACACAAAGAGAAGCTTTTGCTAAACCTAGACCAGAACCATGGTCCATTTGTAGAGCAAACCATAATTCTGATTAAGTGAAAATCTAAGCCTGAAGTAAAAATACATAGAATAATTGAAAGAATATGGTGAATATCGTTGGGAGAATCTGGTAGGGTAGTCTATGTCGTGGAGGTTTATGAATGTGAGGGCAAAGGTGGAAGTGCTAAGTAAAAAGTTCAGAGTTCCTTCTTGCTTTTGATTTTCTTTATTTCCTTTTCAAATCTTTGGCATTTTCTTATTTACACTCTGAGAGAGGAGGAGATAGAGAGAGGGAGGGAGAAAGAGAGAGAGAGAGGAGGGTGGCGAGGGAGATAGAGAGAGAGAGGAGGATAGAGTAGGTTGTGGCGTGGTCTAGAGAGAGATAGAGAGACACACAGAGAGAGAGAGAGAGAGAGAGAGAGTAGTTGGGTCGGACGACCGTCCCGCCGACCCAACGAAGAGAGAGAGAGATGTTGGGGCAGGCCCCAACCCCACAAATAGAGAATGAGAGAGAGAGGGAGAGTCAGATAGAGAGAGGTTGAGGCAGGTCCCAACAGAGAGATAGAGGTGCCCTAGCAACGAAAGAGAGAGGTTGGGGCAGGCCCTTGCCCCAACAGAGAGAGAGAGGGGTAGGGGCAGGCCTTTGCCCCAACAAAAAAAGATAGAGAGAGAGAGAGAGTGATGCAGCGATAATTAGGTGGGCATGAGTTTATCTTGTGCTTTATATTGATCAATTGGATTGGTTAGTTTGAGGATTATAAATAGGATAAGGTTAAATCTAGAGGGTTTATCTTTTAAACAATAACCAACATCGGGAGGCTTTGAGTAAAACTTGGGCTAACTATTTTAGAAGAAAATCTTTGGCATGTGAAGTTAAGAGAGAGAAAATAGGGAGGATAAATAAAGTAGGAAAAGTCCATATGTAGAGAGAGGTTTTTTTTGTTTAGTTATTGTTTATCTTCTTTTTCGTCTATTTAGAGGGAAATCTCCTTTCATTATAAATTAGTGAATGAGTTTAATAGAATTTGGTCTCGTGAAGAGATTGTTTTGGGGGTGGATTCCCTTGCAAACCTTTGAGAGATGGTATATTCTCTCAATATTTCTTTTTTTTTAATTATTTTTTTGGTTTTATTTTCTCCTTGCATCAATTGGTATCAGAGCGGGTTCTGATGCTTCAAAAGAGACACCCCTCGACGGATTAAAGTTATTGACTAAAGTAGTTCAAGCCTTAGCAGAAAGAGTAGACAAATTCATGCCCGTAGTTAAGAAAGTAGATGAGCTTGTGCAAAAGTTCGCTCAGCTTCAGGATAGAAGAAATCTGGAGATCAGTGTTGGAACTCAAGGCAACAAAGATGAAAGATGTATGCATCTTGTTCCTAACCAACCTCGGGTGGCGTCGGAATTCAATGGACGAATTCTTCGATTGTTGGAAAGAGAAAGAGAACCTAGAATAAAAATTGATATTCTAGAGTTCCACGTCGATTGCATGCAGACGATTTTTTTGATTGGCTAAGTAAAGTAGAGAAAGTGTTTGAATACAGAGATATTACAGATCACAAAAACTTAAAATTAATAGCCGCAAAATTTTCTGGCCAGGCATTGGTTTGGTGGGATAATTTGCAACAGGATCGTCTTCGACAAGGCAAAGAAACAATTAATTCATGGGAAAAGATGAAGACGAAGATGCGTCGAAAAGTTTTACCAGTAAATTGTGCCCGAACTTTGTACCAAAGGTGTCAAAACCTCAAGCAATGTGAAAAGTCGGTAAGTGACTATACTGAAGAATTCTATATTTTGACAACTAGGGCAATTTTACAAGAGTATGAAGATCGAAAAATAAGTCACTACTTGAAAGAGCTAAATCAAGGCATTCATAATAAATTGGTCTTCAAAGATATCTATAAGATGTCTGATGCCTATACTTTGACCCTCAAAGCAGATGAAATAGTCAATTTGGGCCTTGGGAGAAACAACTCAGTGACAAGAGGCCCTACTTCAATACTGAGGCAACAAGCTTTAACCTTTAGAAGACCACCTATGGGGCGTGGAAACCAAAATTCTCAGAGTTTCCCAACTAGGTCAAACCCTAATATGGGGAGAGGTGGTGTTGGAAGCACCTAAAACACCTCGTGATGATACACAAATTGTGTGTTTCAAGTGGCAACAGCCTGGACATAGAGCATTCAATTGCCCCTCACGTCAACCTCCTATCAAAGTTAACTTGGCAGAAGAAAATTATGAAGTTGAAGTCGATGAAGGATACACCTATGAAGGTCAGGATGATATTGGGACGAGCCACTCTTATGAAGGGACTGAGCCTTTCAAAGGTGAGATTGGGGAGTTGTATGGAGATGAAAGGGATGAAGCCTTAGTTGTCCAACGAACCATGTTATCCACCACACGACTTAGTGAGGAAGAGAAGTGGTTGCGACACAATATTTTTCGAACAACTTGCACATCAGGAGGCAAATTATGTACAATACTAATTGATGGTAGGAGCAGTGAAAATATTATATCTAAAGAGATAGTGGATAAACTTCAATTGAAGGAGCATAAGCACCAATGCCCATATCACATCCAGTAGTTCAAGTAAGGAGGTGAGGTACCAGTTCTTACTCGATGTTTAATCTTTTTTTTCATTGGTGCTAATTATAAAGATGAAGTGTGGTGCGATGTAGTACCTATGGATGCATGTCACATATTACTTGGTAAATCATGACTTTATGATCATGATAAAACTAGACCAAACACTTATTCGTTTATCAATGATAGTATTAATATCACACTCCACCCTATGAAGCAACTTCTTATACCCAAATCCACTAAAGAAGAGGGTTCAAAGTTGCTTAATGTGCAAAAATTAAAAGGGGGCAGCAAGGATATGGATGTGACTTATGTGTTGCTTGCAAAAGAAAATTATACACCGACTGTAATTCTTAGGTCTATTGAACCTCTACTTGAGAAGTATAAAGATTTGATGCCTGAAAAATTACCTGATGGTCTTCCTCCAATGAGAAATATTCAGCATCACATTGACTTGGTACTTGGTTCTAACCTACCAAATTTGGCTCATTATCGAATTAGCCCCATGGAACATGAAGAGTTGCATAGATAAGTTGTTGATTTGCTTAAGAAGGGATTGATTCGATAAAGCATGTCACCATGTGTTGTCCTTGGGAACTAAACTTCAATTTTCTAGCGCTTATCATCCTCAAACAGATGGGCAGACAGAAATAGTGAATAAGAGCCTTAGTAATCTCTTGAGGAGTATTGTTGGTGATAACATATCTCAGTGGGACCTCGGATTGCCCCAGGCCGAGTTTGCTTACAACAGTTTAGTAAATCGGTCTACAGGAAAATCACCATTTGAGATTGTTAATAGGCAGACTCCAAATCATGTGCTGGACCTAGTGCTATTACCCATCCCAAGCAAGATATAAGTGATGATGCCAATGCTTTTACTAAGCATATTCGAGAGTTGTAAGCTCAAATCAAAAAAAAAATTGAGGAAAGTAATGCAAAGTATCAAAAAGCCTCAAATGAGCATAAAAGAGAGAAAATTTTCAAAGAGGGTGACTTAATAATTGTGTATTTGCGAAATGAGAGGTTTCCATTGGGAACTTATAATAAACTCAAGTACATGAAGGTGCCCTTGCCATATTTACAAACAATACAAGAACAATGCATATAAGGTATAATTGCCAAAGGCATTTGATATCTCCCCAATATTTAATGTTGCTAACTTATTTGAGTTTCATGGAGATCGTCTAGAAGTCGAAGAAGAAGTAACTGATATAATGAAGTAATTACCGAGAAAAAAAGATGAGGAAATTGAGCAAGTTTTGAAGATTGAAAGCTTTCAAACTTGAAAGGGTTTTTATTGCCAATATCTAGTCAATTGGAAGGGTATGTCATACTCTGATAGCACATGGATTTCTAAGCAAGAGTTCAAAATGGTGGATCCAGACTTATATCTTATCTATACTGAAGCCAACTCGCCGGAGTCGAGTTCTTTTGAAATGGGGGAATGATGCAGCCATGCCCCAACCGATAGTTTGTGGCTGGGCCAAGAAGGGTCATAGGACCCAAGAGGGAAAGAAAGAGGTAATGATGTAATAAGATGGATTATTAGGGTTATTTTAATTTTTTATTCTTTTGTTAAGAATAGGGAGTGTGCAGGGATAATTAGGTGGGCATGAGTTTATCTTGTATTGGATATTGATAGGTTGGTTAGTTTGATGAATATAAATAAGATAAGGTTAAATCGAGAGGGTTTATCTGTTATTCCTTTGGGAGGCTTTGAGTAAAATGTGGGCAAACTATTTTAGAAGCAAATCTTTCACGGGTGAATTTAAAAGAGAGAAAATATGGAGAAGAGATAATAGGAAAAGTCTGGGTGGAGAGGTTTTTTTCCCTTAATTATTATTTATATTCTTTTTAGCCTATTTAAAGGGAAATATCCATTTATTGTAAATCAGTTGAATAGAATTTGGTCTCATCAAGAGATTGTTTTTGGGGTGGATTCCTTAGAGACATTGGATAGAAGGTATATTCTTTCAACCTTTCTTTTTTTATTGTTATTTTTCTGATTTTATTTTCTCCATGCATCAGATAGGATAGAGGCAAGCCCCCAAGAGAGAGGGGTTGGGGCACATAGCACTAGAGAGAGAAGACAATAAAGACTCACAAAAAGCTTACATTGTAAGAGTGCATAAATCCACCGATATTTACAACAAATCACCGACTAATGCACAAATCGGCCGTTTAATGTTGATTTGTACAGTAAATCGGTCGATTAATACACTATATGAAAATTGCCCAATACATACGCTATGAAATCAGACAAACTCGGGATTGGCTAGTGACCGATTAGTGCACAAATCGGCTTATTAGTGTTGATTTATACAGTAAATCGGTCGATTAATACACTATGAAAATTGCCCAGTACATAATCTATGAAATCGGACAAACTCGGGATTGGCCAATGACCGACTCCGAGTTAGTCGGCGGATTTGTCTTTTTGAATACTGATTCATACCATATGCTTTCTTAGAAATATTGCACGCAATATTTTTTTATATCCTAGTGAAAGAGATAAGAATAGGGTTATGCATTAAAAAGAGAGATACAGGTACGTGGATAGAAGATTAGAAAAATAAAAGATAAAGATGTAAGGTTAGAGAGAGAGAGGATTTATTTCGTAGATGGTTAAAATTAGTTTTAGTGGAAAGATAAATAAAAGACATGTAGATATATATAGAGAGGAATCATTTTCCTAGCTTTTGATAAAGATGTAAGGTTAGAGAGAGAGGATTTATTTTGTAGATGGTTAAAATTAGTTTAAGTGGAAAGATAAAGAAAAGACATGTAGATATATATAGAGAGGAATCATTTTCCTAGATTTTTCCTAACATATCTCTTTTACTGGTAATGATTTATTTTCTCTAAGATGTTCTATTAGGCCTATTTTAGACAAAGCTCCCCCACTAGAAGGAATCATTTCGTAAATATTATATATAAAATATAATTTATCCCGATAAGTATTGATATCTATCTCTTTTAGAAATAAGTTTTAAGTAAAAGAAAAGGTTTCTATACTTCTCCTGCAATTCAAGTTAGATCAAGTGAGCCATTGATTGTTTGATCTAGATCCGACGCCTCAAAGAATTTTATGTTTAGGCTTTTCTACGAATAATTGTATAAATATGAAATTTGGTACGTAGTGTCTTAAGCACACCTAAAAAAATATTAAATTTTTTTTGATAAAATATAAATACTAAATTTTCTTTGAAACTTTCATTGATATTTTAGTTATTTTAGACCCCCAAAATTTAGTGTCCAAATATTTTGTACCAAAAAAAAAAAAAGATACAATAGTGTGATATGTGATATTATCCATATCAGCCGTACATTTAAAATGGACGGGAAGTATATAGTTTTATGCAATAGAGAAAGAAAGAAAACTTGTACCGAAAAGTAAAAAAAAAAAAAAAAGAATATATATATATATATATATATATACTTACTAGCCCTCATTTTTCATCCAAGTCCAAGAAGCAGTCAAATTTTTCCACTTACTGGCCCGCATTTCTCATCCAAGTGCAAGAGGCAGTCAAATTTCTCCCCCTCTTTCATTTTGTTTTGTTTTGTTTATTTTCTTCTTGGCTTCCTCGATCTTTTGTTAGCAGAGCATCTTTCTTTGATCCCACTAATGGGCCTTTCATTCAATTCCCTCGCTTCTCTTTTCTTTCTAGGGTTTTAAAGGGATTCGTCCTACTCTCTCTAAAACCGTCTCTCTCTCTAAACGGTGGTCTCCAGTCCTCTATCCTACGAATCACAATTCTCCCTTCTGAATTTTCTCCCTCTCTCTATTGAGGATCATCTCTCGCTTTATTTTCTAGCCTTTCCTTTCTGTTAAGGCTTCCTTTGTTTTTTCTGGAGGGGATATCAGAGTTCGAGTATTTAGGTTTATTGGGTTTTCCTACTTGCTTTTTTTTTATTTTTTTTCTTTATTTATTTATTTATTTTTTTCTGGGATGGGGTTTCAGAGTTCGAGGGCCTGGTTTTCTGCCCTAGTTTTTATTGCCTCCATAGGGGTTTGTTGATGTTATACAAAGTAGGAAAACTGACAGTATCTCCTCTCTTTCTTTCTATCTCTTTGTGATATATTAATAATTTTGAGCCCCCTTTTCCTTATCTTTTCTCCTGCGCACTCCTAAATCAAATTACTTATGATTTTTTTTATTTTTAATGTATTGTCAATTGATGTTTTTGGAGGTTTTAAAGTTGTTTTTGTGTGTTATCTTTGCACTTTCACAGATCACCGTTTAAAGTTTTGATCGAGAATACAAGTTTCTCAATGTGTATATGGTTAATGTTTGAAGGATTCCCATGAGTTTTAACAAACAAAATAATTGAGTTTCATATGGTGGCCAGTTTCTTGAGTTAGTTGGCTGGGCAATATTAAGCCGTTTATGTGCCATATTTCATGGGATTTTCTTGTATACGGAAGTTTTGAGGTCCTCTTGTGGCATTGGATTAAATAATCTGCTTGGGGTTGTGATCATACTCTTAACATCTTGTGGCATTGGATTAAATAATCTCCTTGGGGCTGTGATCATACTCTTAACAGTTGTTATGGGTTACCTTAATCTGTGGAAAAAAAATGTGGTGCCATATGATTGGATTCACGGAGATTGGAAGGTTTTATAATTTTGTGTTTTAATATTTGAATTTAGGTTTTTATGGGTTTATGATCAGTATGATTGTGATTGATTTAGTTTGGGCTTTGATTTTTTTAGTTGGAATAGATGGTTCTATATTAAAATCTTGGTGATATTTTGACATATTATCAACCAGATTCTACTTGAATTCCATATTTGTCACTGATATATGTGACTTATCTGAGCTAGTTCCAACTTTTGGGTGTGAGTTTTGCATTCCCAGTGCATTTGAATGTGTTTTTAATCATCTTCTGGATTCTTTCATTGTACATGTTCAATATACATTTTGCTGCGTGCATACTATGAATGAAATGCTCCATACATGCTTGTTTAGATGTACACATTATTACTCCTTATGCACTATTTCAATAAAAATTAATCTATATAATGAATTAGTTGTTTTTGGTAGTGTCCATCACAAAGTTATTTGAGATAAACTTATAAGCAGTTTTGGAGATAATTGTATCTTTTTGAAAGTTTGTTTTGCTTTATTCATAGTAATTTGCTAAAAATCACATGTTTTTGGCCAAACATAGCTGAAAATAGCTAGAAATCGCTGAAAGAGTTTAATAAAGTAATATTATACATAAGGCAAGATACATACCATATAGCTAACAAGATAATATTATCCAGCTTGTATTAGTTTTAGATAAGATAGTCGATTCCAGATGAAATTAATTTTCAATCCGAACATGCTTGTACTATATATGATGGATAATGCTTTGCCATATATTTTAGATGGTAATGTGACATTTTGGTTTCTTTCGTGTCATTGTACAACTAAAGCATTTCTACTGCTTATGATTGCCATATTGATTTTTGTTAAGAATCTTTTACCCTTAACTTGTCACATATGTTAATGGTGATTTTGTGTCAATTTTTAAAGGCAGGTTGATCTGTGGTGTGCCTCTATTATTAGAGGGGATTAACAAGAGTCATAATAATGCCTACAAGTAAGTATTTGATGTGGTTGCTTCCTGATTCCTCTTTTCTATGTAGTTTATTCTGCTTTCTTTGAAACATAGATATACGTAGGAAACAATAAAGGCATGAATCATCATCAACATCATCATCATTTGAGCCTTATCCCAACTATTTGAGGTCAGGCTACATGAATCATGTTCTGCCACCAAGCACTGTAACCTCAGTCAAACAAGGATTCATGAAAAGATATGGGAAAGTTTTACGCTGACTGCCCTACCTAACACAACCCTCCTCCTTTATCCGGGCAGCGATGGCAGAGTTACAATAAATGCATAAATGTGCATCATTAAATTGCAAATGATAAGGAAAAAAGAAAAAAGAAAAAGAAAAAATTTAAAACTTTTAGTTGTTAGCCTTGAAAGAAGAGGGCCTCATTGGGTGCACAAAGCACTATGTCTTCAATCAAAGAAGCTGTAGAGCCTTGAAGCATTGGTCAGAGTTTTATTTTCATTTTCTAAATATTTTTATCTAGCCAAAAGGCCATATCCCAAAAGCTGAATTATTTGGTTTCATTTCTTGAGAATCTTGAATAGAACACTAAAAAATTGCCATATTATTAACACTCAAAGCACCCCTTGCAAAACCCCCCCACCTCCCCACAAAAAAAAACAACAGTCTATCAAAAAACAACACAGTATGAAACAACTGTCTAATTTTGTATGATGTGATGTAGGACCAAACAGATTGGCATCTACATATGTATTAGTAAGCATTGGTGGGCTGAGCATTATAAGTTTAAGAGTATGTGGTTGCAAACCAGGGTTACCATTATATAATGATGCTTGGTTTTTGACGGGCAGCTAGGTCGTGGACATGAGAAATAAGTTTAGGGGTTGTAGATGATTTAAGATATAATGCCAAGGTAGATGTCGTGATGGTTTGAGAAAGTTCAAATGTTTAATGGAGAGCAGGTATGGGTTAAGGGTCTAGAGGGGTTTGGATGGTTGTCGAAGGTGTAGCTTATTTTGGTGCTTTATATTAGGGGTTGAAGTTGATGGCTAAGAAGAATGGAAGATGGGATGTGGCCTTGTATGGTGTCTGGTTTGATGATGATGGTGGTGTGTCGTAGATGGATGTGAATTTTTATTGATGAAGTAACAGAAGTGCCTTGGGAGTAATGGTTGGTTTTGATGATGGAGCTTGTGATGAAGAGGGGATGAGCGTAGGTTGAAGAAGGGGATGACCTAAAAGCAACACCCTTTTGCTTGCAAATAGCCTTCCTATAGAACCTGAGCGCTCTTCCAGTTTGGATGCTTGTTGAGCTTCGTGTTCTCGGTTTATCTAGAACTCATTTCTAAAGCAGATGCAGAGTTGGATTTGCCGGGGATAGGAGACTCAAAGAACCACAACTACTAGGGTTAAATTAGAACTTTACAGAATCAATACTCTCATGGACATAGGGGTTTATGGAATCAATAAGGGCTGGGTGGATATATAGAGAGAGAGAGGAACTAGAAGCTTGGAGGATGATAGTGATAGAGAGGGCAAAGAGACAGATCTTTGGGGTAGAGAGGAGATTTTTTTTTTTTAAATGTTTCTTAAAACAAGGGGTATTTAAGTCCAAAATATTGTTGATGTCCTTTTGAGGGGGTTATTTGTCTGAACAGTTGGAACTTGGGGAGTTTTTGATTGTAAGAAAAGGTTTAGGGGTTTTTTGTAGTATAGATATAAATATAAGTTGGGGGGTCCTATTCCCCCACGGAGATGCACCATGTATATACAAATGTATATTATGTAGTATGATGTGGCATTTGCTATCATTCCTGTGTGGTGCACTGCATTATGCCATGGAGCATGTTGTACCTCGTATTGCATGTACATTCAATGCAACTTCACATGCCATGGAGTATGACTTACATGTTGCACGTGTGCAATGCATCGCAACATAACATGAGTATGGAGTACTTTGCATGGCTCATGCATATCATGCAGCGCTGTATTTCATGGAGCATGCAGTCATGTGCTACATGCTTATACAAATATCATCCCTTTTACGGTCCATCATGTTCATGCTATCTTAACAACCATTAACCCTCTTATGGTCCTCTTATAGGAGTGTTAGGTATCTAGGTTTCCTTATTTGTACTTAGTGTTTTGGTTTCCTATTTGTTTGAATTTCATTTATGTCAGTGGAGTTCTGATCCATCTTGTAGTCCAAGTAAATCAGGATTTAGAAGACTAGCATAAATACATTCAAGGGGCATATGTCCAGACTCCAGACAATGCTTTGAACGATAAAATTTGCCTTCTTGCACACTTAGATAGTATTGATTCCATCTGAATTGTTGATTCCACAAATCACCGTTAGTGCTGATTCTGTGAAACCTTAATTTTGTATGGTGTAGATATTGTATGATTTTTTAGTTTTTTTGATAAATGTTAACTTTTGTATTGCTATTAGTCGTACAATTTTTTAGTTAGTATCCATATTTGTAGTATTATATTGATTTATAGAAGTGTTGGCCTTTCCTCTATATTTCATTTATCTTCAACCACACATTTCCATCTATTCATGCCAAACCTCAACGAGCCACATCTCTCTGCACTACCCTATTCCAATCAGACCCTAATGCATCATAACCCTAACTTCATTAACCTAGTCGTGTGTCCGATCCAATTCCATCTGTTTCGTCTTCTTAATCACAACTTAATTCAAACTGTAACCCTAATTCTTCTTAAATCTTAATTTTGAAACTCGTCAACCGTAGTCCACTAAACCCTACATGTAGCTAATCCTTTTTCCTTCATCCATGTGTGCCTTGGAAGTCATCCACATTCGAAGGTATTCTTGATTTTAAGAACTTCCAAATTTCATCTTATTCACTTTGGTTCTTAGGATTGAAGGTTAATGGATAATGAGATGCTTATATTTTGGAAAAAAAAAAAAACTATAGGAACAAACACACATTGCCTGCCTTGTTCATGAAACTGTGTGGTTTGCCACACAGACATTTCAAAGAATTATGCCATTAGTTCCAACAATGTAGGAAGGAGAAATCTTCAGGTTCAGAATTTCTGACAGTGCTTTCCATTGCGTAGCTTGGTAATTTTTTATGTTGCTTCCCCTAAAATAATTCGGTAGGGAGGCGTATTTCTCTTTGATTGTTTCTGCTAGTGAATAACTTTCTGTCTCATTTTGTTGTAGGACTTATGTTTGAGAATTATTGTGAAGTTGGAGTATTTTCAAAATTAACAAATGCATATTGTTTGGTGGGAATTGGAGGGTCAGAAAACTTTTACAGGTTGGCTTTTTAGAACCATACAGTAGTCAGATTAAAATGGAGAACTTATGGACCATATTGAGATTCAAACATACCGTATAATATGAAATTCACATACTTACTGCTTTACTTGAGTTTTATGCTGATGGTGGTCATGGAATATGCTAATTGTTGGGCCACCTGTTGCAGCACATTTGAAGTAGAATTAGCCGATGTCATTCCTGTGGTTAAAACATCCATTTCAGGCACAAGAATGATAGGACGGCTTTGTGTGGGGAAGTTAGTCATGTCATATGTCTAAAAAGGTGGCCATGAATTTTTGTTTCACATGTTGGGATATGACAAGTCTTAACAAGAAGGGGGCTTCTCTTGCCACACAACACCACTGATCAAGGTAAGCTTGAGCTATCATTTTTCTTTCTGCTTGTTTTTCTCTTATGTATTATTGAAATCACCTTATATTTTGAATGATACTTTAGGTGAAGTGTGAACCCATGAATTCTTTGAAAACCCTTACTATTTCTGATACTTTGTTGTTTTAATTTCATTTTTCTCAATATATGGTGCTTTTCCCTTTAGAACATATTTAGCTGGTGTTAATATGTGGTCTCTCTCTCTCTCTCTCTCTCTCTCTTACACACACATGCACGCATGCAGAGCGGCATGCAATTTCCGATGCAGCCGTGGTACAATGGCTGCAACAATAGAATTACTTCATCTAAGCTAGGCAATAACGGTAAAACTATTGTCATCATGATAATCATAGTCCTTGATTAGGGTAATCACAAGCCTTGGTCTTCCCTATTGATGCATATAAAAATTAAGAAAAAATTCAAAATTATTATTTTATTAATTAATTTTATTTAGGAATTAGTTAGGATAGAAAGTTTTCAATTTTTAAGATTGACAAAGAGTATTATTTGTTTATTTGATAAGGCTCATGGGTGAGGTCAGTGATGGTTGATGTAACTTAAAATGGGAAAGTTATGCTTTTATGGACTTAGAAGAAGAGATTTGAATAATAATTGAGAGATTTAAGGGATTTAGATTTGGAGGGGAAATAGGAAGATAGACGTGAGAGAGGAAATATGGAGAAAGAGATTTATGTGGAAGTTAGAGAGAGATAAGGGAAAGATGGTGCGTGACTTTTAGAGAGAATTTATTTTTTTGTGGATTATTTATTTATTTATTATTTATTCTAAGTGTATTTAAAAGGGGAGATGTCCCTTCTTTGGAGAAGATAATTTGTGGTTAAGTAAAAAGTTGATTTTGTGGAAAGATCTTTAAGGTGGATTATTTTGCAGACCCTGAAAAAGAGTATATTCTCTCACCTGTTGTTATTATATTTTATTTTAATTATTTTTTCCCTCCATATTCCTTGCATCAGTTGGTATGAGAGTAAAGCTAATCATGTTATGGATGATCGAAAATTTGATCAAAGTCATGTAGGATGTTCAAACCTAATTTTTGTGAAATGAATTAACGGCGACAAAGTTTCGAGAATACTATTATTCGAGAAGAGGGTGATCGCAACCACATCGATCTTGCGCCAGTAGTCCTATGACAAACCCAAAGTGTTGATCCCGATCATAGCGAAGAAATTTACAGGCAAGATCCACGTCTTATGGAGCATATACATGATCTTGGTATTCAGCTTGATTTCTCAAGTTTTACGAGGAACTTAAAAATAAAAAGAAATCACGATTGAGCCCGAGATCTCAGTGTCCTATTTCGAAATAAGCACGAAGTATTTGATGAATCGGTTTATTGAATAAAAAATATCAAATCGGTTTATTGAAGAAAAAGTATCGAGGCATTTGGTGAGACTATATCTCCAATTAATTGAGTGGCCTTTGAAGCATGTAAGCTCGAGGTCGAGCATCTCCCAACCTCAAGAGAATGATGTAGCTAAAAATTAGAAAAAATTCAAAATTATAATTTTATTATTTTTTGAGTTATTTTTATTTAAGAATTGGTTAGGATAGGAAGTTTCCAATTTTTAGGGTTGACAATGGTATTCTTTGTTTACTTGATAAGGCTCATGGGTGAGGGTTAACGCGTGGCTTAAAATGTGAAAGTTCTATTTTCATGGTTTAGGAGATTTAGCTAGAGATCTATGGGGTCTCACATTGGGAGAAGAGATTTGAATAAGAATTGAGAGATTTAAGGGATTTAGATTTGGAAAGAAAATAAAGAGATAGATGTAAGAGAAGTAGGGAGAAAGAGATTTACGTGGAATTCTCATCGTCTAGAAGGGAATCCACCCCAAAAGATCTTTTCACATGATCAACTTTTTACCTAACCACCAATTTTCTTTTCCAAAGAAGGGACATATTTATTTATTTATTTATTTATTCTTTCATCTCTTTCTAAAAATCACATTCCACCTTACCCGTATCTCTCTCTAACTTCCACATAAATATCTTTATTCTTATTCAAATCTCGATATTTATTCTTATTCAAATCTCTTCTCCCTATGTGAGGCCCCATAAATCTCTAACTAAATCTCCTAAGTCCATGAAAATAGAATTTTTTCATTTTAAATCAATTTAATCCTCACCCATGAGCTTTATCAAGTAAACAAGAAATATCCATTGTCAATCATAAAAATCGGAAACTTCTTATCATAACTAATTTCTATATAAAAATAATTAAAAAAATAATAAAATTATAATTTTGAATTTTTTTTTCTAATTTTTATCTGCATTATTCTTCTAAGGTTGGGAGAATCTCGAACTTACATATTTTAGAAGGCCAATCAAATAATTGGTGATGCAGTCCCACCATGCGCCTCGGTACTTTACACAAAATTTACAAACACCAAATACATAAAATTTACACAAGCTCTCTGGCATTAAGACTTGAACTCTGTTCGGGAGTCACAGTCTAGTGCCAAGTTGACTCCCAGCGTCCCAAGCCGACTCTTCGGGTCCTTGAGAAGTTTGTAAACATTAAAAAAAGAAAAGAATATAAAGTAACCCACGAAGGAATCTATTTAAAGGTCCAGTTGAGTCGCTTGTGACATGCATGAGTCCCAAGTCGACTACTGAATTGTCAAGATGGTTTACAGTCATCGATGTGCTTGAACATAACTATTTTCGTGTCAACATACATACAATATGGAAGATGCCAGTAAAGTGACTCTCATCAAAATGGTATAGAATGCATCCAGTTAAGCACCAGTACAGTCTTGAAAACAACTAGAGTATAGCGTAACACGATGCAGCATCTAACCCACTTAAAAAGAAAATTGGAGGACCAAACAAACCTTGGCAATAAGGTCAAAAAATGTAGTCCTTTTTTTTCTGGATAAATTCAAAAGAGAGTCATTTATCATGAAATGAGGGCAAACAAATTCTTTCATTTCTTTGATAGTTAAAATGGCCCCAATCGATGGTGGATTGGATATCTCCGTATCAAGGAAACTAAAACCTGTGCTCTCCTATTATATTTTTGATTGGTAGAACTAAATCTGGGCTCTATTGGGAGAACTTAGTGAAATATAAGAGCTCAAGAATGGTATTATTCAAATGAACAAAGTCAAATGGTTGGACTGGTTTAGCTAACTTGTAAAGGGCCAAAAGTCAGGCTCTTGATTTGAGTGTCCATATTTTTCCTAATACTAGCTTCTCATGACCCTTGTATGATATTGCTAGATAAATTCAACGGCACATTGTTTAGATGCAGGAGTATAACTGTTGCAGATAAAAATTAGAAAAAATTCAAAATTATAATTTTATTATTTTTTGAGTTATTTTTATTTAGGAATTGGTTAGGATATGAAGTTTCCAATTTTTAGGGTTGACAATGGGTATTTCTTGTTTACTTGCTCATGGGCTCATGGGTAAGGTCGGTGAGGGTTAACGTGGCTTGAAATGAGAAAGTTCTACTTTCATGGACTTAAAAGATTTATGGGGCCTCACGTTGGGAGAAGAAGAGATTGAGAGGGAGAAGAAATTTGAATAAGAATTTAGAGATTTAGATTTGGAGAGGGAATAGGAGGGTAGGAGAAAGACATTTATGTGGAAGTTAGAGAGAGAGAGAGAGATAATGGAAAGGTGGTGCTTGACTTAGAGAAAGAGTTTATTTTTTGTGGGATTTTTTCATTTATTTGTTTTTTTCTTTCTTCTAAGTGTATTAAAAAGAGAGATGTCCCTTTTTTGGAGAAGAGAATTGGTGATTGAGTAAAAAGTTGATCTTGTGAAACTATTTTTTGGGGTGAATTCCCTTGCAGACACTGAGATAGGGTATATTTTCTCACCCTTTATTAGTATTTTTATTTTAATTATTTCTTCCATCCATATACCATGCTTCAATTAGTATGAGAGCAAAGTTAATCCTACTATGAATGATCGCCTGGGACAAGTTTTAGAAATTTTACCAAAGTCATGGAGGATGTTCACACTGAATTTTGTGAAATGAATTAACGTTTACAACGATTGGAGAATACAATTATTCGAGAAGAAGGTGATCCCAACCACATCAATCTTGCACCAGTAGTTCTACGATAAACCCAGGGTGCTGATCCCGATCGTAATGAAGAAATTTACAGACACGATCCACGTCTTATGTGTTGGGTTCAGACGGTTTCATGCCGGTGTCTTCCATCTCTCTGACTAGTGCACGAAAGATGTGCACATGATTCACAAACTTAGTACCCTCTGCCATCTTTAACTCATTATATTTTTTCAGAGCCACAGCTGCGTCATGAGAGAGGGATCATCATACTCTCTTTCAAGTCTATCAAAGATTCCACTTGCTGTAGAAATTGACTCATACTCGGAAGCATACGAGTCAGTCATGGCACACAAAAGTATGTTCTTACATCTCCTGTTCCTCCTCTTCCAAGTGGCATACTCATCTTTGATTGCTTGAGATGAGTCGTCACTTGGACGATGAGGATGACCCTCATGGAGGGTCTCGTGCAAGTTTTCCTCATAAAGAACACATTGAATCTTTCTTCTCCAAGATGCATAATTGGTGCCATTGAACCTTTCGGTTTTTAGGATCTCAAAGATGAAGGTACGTGCATCCATATCTTTTATTCTCAAACAAAAATTTAGACTCAATAAAAGAGAAAAGACTCCTAATAACCTTGCTCTGATACCAATAAAAGTGCGACCAATGTGATCTTTTACCAAAAATATATTATTAAATATACCCCTTTTGTTTTAGCAAAAGATCACTTACAACAAAATAACAATTCCTTATGCTTGAGAATATAAAGATGAAGTTGCAAAAATAAAAATGGAGAGTGTCGGAGATTACCTCAATCGGGCTTATTACACCCCACACCGAGTCACCACCATCAGATGGTGCGAGATCGACGATCCTCCTTTAATCTAAATCGGGAAAGTTAGTTTAGGTTAAGCACTTCAATGGAACCCTTATGCT